CATAATCGTTCTAATGATGTTGTTAGTGTAGTTAACGTTTGTCCCGTTGTTCGAAGACCCAATACGACAATGACCATCGTAATTTTTAATAGGATTTATACAAAGGAATTTCTTCAAAACCACTGATTATTACCTGAAACAAAAGGAAAAAAAACATATATATATAAATAATCTTTTCATGTATAACTAACCTGTTGTTGTTTTTGGTCAGCACTGTCCTTGCTGCCCAATTGATAAATATCTAATTTTGTTATTTGTCGACTAGAGTTGTTATTAAAGACAAATATCATTCACTCTTGATTGAAACACTCACAACAAATAAAAGTTTTTTGACAATAAAGCAAAAAAGTCGACATGATGATTAACGGTAATAATCAAATAAATATCGTGAATAATTAAAAGAGTCTGCTCTAGTTGAAGCAGTTGCTCGTTGACGCTTTTGATTAAAGAAAAGAAAGAGAGATGAAAAATTATACCAACATGACGATATTCAAGCGAATGGCCTGTGTATTCTGAAACAAAAATAAAAGGATATAGGTAAACGTGGATTCTTTTTTTTGTCGACCTATAACACTATCATGGATAAAATCATCTATTGGGAGACACTTACGTTTTTATAGAAGCTTTTTTTTCTCTCGCCTTTTTCTTTTTCTTTCTATATCGATACGACTAATTTACAAGGAAGAAAAAGAAAAAAAAAGTATATTTTCTGACTGGTCGACCGTGATTTTGACATGGATACTAGAAGAAGAAAAACAAGTCAATGAAAGGAAAGAAAAAAGATCAAAATGATGATAATGATCACGAGTTGGGATGACACATCAACCAATCATATGACTGATATAGGTTGAAGCCATTTTGTTTCCTTTGTCAAATAGAGGAACTAAAATCATTAGAATAAAATCGCGACATCTACAAAATTATTTCAATATTCACTTCAATTATAACGTTTACATACAGTTCTCTCTATGTAATTAGTGTGAATATATAATTAAAGTAACGACGTACACAAAAATTTCTCCTTCATTATATAGCTAATAATAAATTATTTTATATTTGAACTAAAAGTTCGTTTTTTTTACGTCTGACCCTGATCTATGTAGAAATAAAAATATTTTATTGACGTTATTCATATGAAGCCATAGTTTTTATTTATATGCTTCTAGAACATGTTTCGATAAGGTGGATGCTTCGTCGATTTTGATTTTTTTTTTTGCATTCTGTAATTTTTTCGATAATAAATAAATCTCTATTATTACTCATTGATCTTGTATAAAATACTAATACGCACTTTAACAAAAATAAATAACACTAATAGAATTTCGATGAAGTCACGTTTATTTGATAAAATACATATTATATGATTACATATTGCTTTTCAATATTATTAATATAAAATATTTATTTATACCTAGTCATATGAGATTTATTTGAATTAATAGTCATACAATCTTTGAGATAAATTGCGAAGAAATATTGTCATTAACATAATATATCTCAAATCGAATATTGTCAATAATTTGTTAAAAATATTGAATTTTTGTCTAAAGAAAAACATATCTTTTATGTAAATGAAACATTTGCTTGATATAAAAGAAAATAATGAATTGCATCGATTTGAATTCAATAATAAATAATTGCTGATACAGATTTGCTTCATTATCCAACCTTATTCAATATGAAAAATTTTAATTTATATGCATATTCAACATTTTTCGTTTTATTTTATTAGTGGAATTCCATCGACGAAATTTTACTAAAATTGAAGAGCCTGCTTCAAATCTTAAACTACTCAATTCCATACTGAATTTTCTCGTTTATAGAGTTAAACATAGTTTTTTTTCTGTTAAATATCGTCCTCTTCCAATGTCTATAATAATTCGAAAACGGAATAAGTTACAGAAAACAAATTTTAGTCATCAGAAATAAAAAAAAGAAAATTCCCATGTTTAAATTTAATTAACATGCAATTCAAGAGAAAAAAGTTTTTCTATGTAGCCTCTCGCAGATTATAATTGTTTTTCCAATCAGAGCTGCTAATAGGCCGGGTCTGGCCTGCAGGCTATTGGGGGTACATAGTAAGAAATCATACAAACAGAAAAATGAAACATTGTTAGCATTCAGATACGCTGAGCTTAGCTCATCAGTGGTCTTTTTATCGATTTCTCAGAAGCAATATGCGTATTGTAACTCTTAGAGTGGCGGGTGTTCATTTGAATTCACGTTAAAGCCGACTGTATTGTAAGCGCTATATTCATATTTTTGAACTACGGTTCAACTTTCGATTATTTTATCATCCTTTATTTGCATTCTACATTCCCAACTGAAACTATCTTATGTGTGATCTTTTACTATTTTTCATGTACTCACTCTCTTTTGTTAATTCTATATGATTTGTTTTCTCTTTTTTTAAATTCTTTTACTGAATAGCAATGAAACCCAGTATAATAACGCCTATAACAAAAAAAATTCACTATTACTGTTGGTCAACAGTATTTATTTATTATCTTTGTCGAATTAAATTGGATAAATAGTCAGTTCTATTCCTGTTATGTATTTATTTTTCGTATCTATTAAGGCATATTCTAGCTCGATTACAAGTCCATGTGAAACTGCAAATAAAATGAAATTAATTAAAAAGAATCATCTATCATCAAGAGTAGATGTAGCCTTTTGACTTTCCAAAGTTGGGTGCCACTATGAACTCTTGCAATGAATATAAAACTGGAATCAATGAAAAAACCTATTATCATTAATATGCATCACTGTCATTCAACGCAGGATATATTGAATTAATATGTTCTCAACTCTGTTTACCAAAAGACTCGCTTAAAACGGTAGAAATCGAAATATGCACTAGGTGCTCGTTTTAGGATTAAAACATTTCTTCTTAAAATTGATAATTAAAGCTTAAAATAAAATTTCAGCTTTAACAAGTTTACAAAACAATTTTAAGCTTATAAAACCAATTCTAATCAGAACTGATCAATAATTTGACTATGTGTTATCTACGTCACAGACTTTGGTCTGGTGGGGTCTGTTTTTTAACATTTATCTTTGTATTTTGAACAGAAATATTGTCTATTTTTTGTTTATATTGTTACTATTCGCTCATTATTTTTCCTTAATGAAACATTATTATTATTCTAACCATTGATTTAATTAGCAAATAAACCAATAATACGTATCTATTATACCTACAACAGATCTCCACGTGCTATTATATATCTCAATGAGCTTACAAACACTTGTATTGATTATTACCTAAAGTTATAACTTGATAAGTTCACAGTTGTCTTTACTGACCATATGACTACTAAGGCAAATCAATGCATCACTACTTAGCATTCTTGATACCTTAAATATAAATTATTATCTGCATAAAAATCGAAAACTGTGTTATTTCGAACATTCGAAGTCTTGTTATTGATGCTGTTTAGTGCCCTTGTTTCATTGCTAAGGAATTCCGGCAGGAGTTCGATATCTGTTGTCTTCGGTAGCTAAGTTGCGAAACGTCGACCTAAAACTTATACTCACTATTTATTCTAACAATATATGTGAGTCCTACAAAACAGCAGATTTCAAGACCTCAAAGTACTTCAGGATACTTGAAGAATCACAGATAGTGAACTGCAGAGCCAAAAAAACTTGACTCCGAGACCCGACTTCAACTACGAAATTTCTCAGTTTGTAACTTCGGTTCCGACTTCGACTCGAAAAAAAAACCTTTTTTTGGAGTTCGATTTAGTAAAAAAATCTTTCAACTCAGGCTCTGAGAATTTTTCAGATCTAACTCCAAGTGCTAGAAGCTTGTAAGATAAGCCTACTCGATCCTAGTTTTTGATTGCTTAGAGTACGACCAGAATAGAGTAGAATAGTATTAGTGTACGAATATTGACGTAATCACCGAGATAGTATTTGAGACGGTACCTCAGGAGTATCATGCTTTGTCTCAGTAGCGTAACATAGTACGCCTTAATTTGATAATTTTTGATTATGCCGCTAAGTACGATTCCTGTAAGGTCAGCTAGGACAAGTATAGAAAAAACATCGAATGAGATAGAGAATGAAAATTCATGCTCTTGCAGAACTCTAGTAAATGTAAGCAAAAGCTCAGTCCATATGTATACGAGCCCTGTAACAAAAGGGTTAATCATTTTAAAACGTAGAATTTTGAAGAGATGAATAATCGAAAAAAGAACAGCTTTTATTAGTATAAAATTTTCTTTTTATCTAATAATTTTTCAACAATGACTAAAAAAGTTTTATTAAAAAAAGGATTTTGATTCTGAAAAATATTCTTTTCGTGAATTCGACTCCACCGGAGTCATGTTTCGAAGTCCGATGTTGTTCACTGACTACAGAATGTTCTGTTTTTTTCTCAAATAAAATATTGATTAATACTAAACAATTATGTGTCGATCCCGTACGTTATAATAACATATTACTCCTCTTTAAACTTTTCTTATGGCAAAAAAAAAAGATTTTATATAATGATTCGTTTTTCAGTGCAAAGTTTTTACATTTGTTACAGTCATACTTTGAAGATACTTCTGATGATTATTTCATGTTAATAATATAACATCCGTTTTTTTTTCAATAAAATAATCAATTGAATTTTCCATATCATTCATTCGAATGATTTGAAAATATAACATTTATATCTGCTGTTTCTCATTTTGTTTTTGATAGGACAATTGATTAAGTCATTTTCATTGGATAATCTGTCAGCCGTTTTCAAATTTCGAAAAAACTTTTTCTTTTTAAAATAAAGAATATTTTATATTAATGAAAAATTATTTATTATTAAAAAAAATTTTTCTGTAAAAAAAATCTGATAGATGAAAATAATTCTGCAAACCATCATGGTAAAATATGGAATACAATAGAGAATCCAAAAGTTGTTTTTTCTTCATTTAATCATAAATTTCTTTGGAATAATGATACTAAATATTGAAATAAATATATTTCAGATAATTAAAATTCATTGATCGTGCACGATGAGTACAGGTACCAAAATCATGAAAAGTGGTAGTGAACCACCAACAGCACTTGAACTTGATGTTTCACAGGTTGAGATTCTTTTCTTATATTGATTTTTATTAATTCAATTTTCAATCTTTTAGCAATTTACGGAACTCGAAGGAAATGCACAATTTAAAGGTCAATTACGTGAACTTTATATAACTGGAGCAAAGGTTTGATAATAATATTTGATTATCGAAAATAAAAACCTTTTCTTTTTATGTACATCTAGAAAGTTGAATTAGGCGATGGACGATCAGCTTTAATAATTTATATTCCAGTACCAAAAGTAAAAAGTTACCAACGAGTTCATTCATTACTCGTCTCTGAACTTGAAAAAAAATACAATCAAACAGTTGTTCTTCTTGGACAAGTAAATTATTTTTATATTATAATAAAAACTAAAAGTTAGTTTTTTTTTAGCGTCGAATTTTGCCAAAACCAACACGAAAATCGAAAACACAATCGAAACAAAAACGACCAAGAAAGTTCGTTTGTTTTTTTTTGTATTTGTTTAAATTAAAAAACATTTTTTTTTTGAAAAATTTAGTCGTACATTAACTGCAGTACATGATGCTATTTTACATGATCTTGTTTATCCTGCTGAAATAACAGGAAAACGTATACGAATTAAAATAGATGGATCACGTCTTTTTAAAATTCATCTTGATAAAAATCAACAAACACTTGTCGAAAACAAGGTTTATTCTATATGAAATATTTTAATTAAGAAAAAAAAGATGATTTTTGCTTTTTTTGTTAGGTGCCAGCTTTTCAATCAATTTATAAAAAACTCACTGGAAAAGATGTTCATTTTGAATTTCCAGAAGTGCTCGTCTGAACAGGAAAACAAAAACAAGAAAACTTTTTACAATAAAGCAACTATTTAATATGATTATTGCTTTATTTTGTTGTCCATTAATTATTTATTGAAAACCATCAACAATAAATATATTTAGGGAAATTTATATTCCCATGTTATGACAACATTTTAATTTTTTGTATTTTATTTCAAAAATCAAAGAAATGCTTAAAAAAATACGAATTATTAATGATAAAGTATTGATACTCATCTGATATGATGATTCTCGAATTGAGCAGAAATGTATATGATTTAAACATGAACGAGAACAGTCAGTTTGTTTACTTCTATCTATAACTTTAGAACATCTTGTTAGTATATTGCGATTCATTTAATAGTTAATATCTTGCTTGAGAAATATTCAGTTACGTATTAATAAAATTTATTTTAACTATGAGAATGGAATTAATTTGCTTATGTGTGATCTGATGATGTCAAAGAAGAGTTTCTTGTTAACATATGAAGGACAACATTGCTTTATTTTTTTGCATACGTTTATCAAAGACACTCTAGAAATAATATTTTGTTGCTCTAATTTTATATCGAATATTTATCAATTTAATTTATTGGAAAATTCAATAAAAAACTAGTACATGATAATGTTATTACAAATTCTCATCCATAGTAAAAAAGCTATGGACCTTAAACTTTACATAAGTGAAGTTAGCACCATATTTGAGTAAAAGTTGCCCATATTCGTTTAGGAGCTCGTTCAAAAGCTTCTAATCAGCGTTCCAAATGCAACTTCACGAACTCTATCCAACGGATGGAGATCACAAAAGTAGCATAAAAGTACAATTTTTTAATAGGATGACGTTTTTTCTTACATAGCACTAGACTCCTGCAACCCGACCCTAGTCGCGGACGGATGTAGCTTGAATTTATCGGGTTGGGTCGAGCGCAGGTTGAACTTTGAAAAATGTCGGATTTATGTTTTTTCTAACGTAATATATAGCTCTCTATGTAGTTTTTCACGATTGATTTAAGTAGTCGTTGTGTCATAAAGTGATCGATTCATGTTGTTTGCATATACGATAGTGATGGTTCTATCAATTCTAAAACGATCTCTCAGTTTATCATTCTTCTTTACAATATGAAAAGAATGTTGGAACCAAAACAGATCTTTCCATTGACATCGTTAATATTTTTGAAAACGGTCATAGAAAACTATAGTAATATTATCATAGTTGCAGCCGTAAAACCTGATATCTTAAGGTTGTATAGCTCTATGTTGATCCAATAATATGACTAACGAAGGAATATTCCGAGATGCTCGAGCACTTTCAAATCGGGACTTAGCACATCTAGTAGATCTTAGTGTGCCGTGTCTATGGTAAAAAGAGTTCGTGCTTATGGCTTGTTTCTCAGAGAATCGAACGTTTTTAGCGAATTTTTGCTGTAGAACCCCAGTTTTGCAGCAGGGTCACATTTTTAAATTTCGATCTCAAACTTTGCTTACATAAAGATCTCAATTAGACTAGCTTGCATAAAAAAATTTTTAGAATTTCTAGGCTCAGTCTCCACGAGATATGGAACTTTCAAGCTACAGATCGCTTTCCATATATAGTATAGATAACATGTATTTTTTCAGAGCTTCGTATCTCGAAGAGACGTAGTCGAAAAATTTTGAAATTTTTATACAAGCTAATCTAATTGAGATCTTTATGTAGGCAAAGTTTCCGGTCGAAATTCGAAAATATAGTCTTACTGCAAGTCTGGGGTTCTACAGCAAAAATTCACTAAAAACATTCGATCTTTTCAGAAACAAGCCATAGCCACGAACTCTTTTTAACATAGACACAGCTCACTAAGGTCTATAAGATGCGCTAAGTCTCGATTTGAAGGCGGATCTATTCGTGAAATTGTCTCAGTATTAATGAGATTTTCTTGGTGCCAAGTATAAATATATCCTGTATCTTTATAAAACATTGTCAATTTCTATCGAACGACCATATTCGAAGAAAACAGTTTATATAGTATAAATAACAAATAAGATTTCGTGTTTGGATCAAGTCGGATCGAGCTTGCGCTCAACTCCGTTGGATAAGACGAATTCAGCTAAAAACGTTGGATCGAGCACAGATTCCAAAATTTGAATCCACGCACGAGTCCACAGAGCACTAGCCAAAAATGCAACTCCAGTTATTGTGTAGAACATATATAGATTTGTAAAATAAGAGTCCTGAAGGGTTCTTCTCTCACTCTCAGTGTTAGGATATGTATGACATAAATTTATTAAAAAGAGATTTCTTCTCCTAATACTCAATGAGACAATAAAAGTCTAAATAAATATGCATAAAATCAAGGAAGAATGAACTGATTTCGTGATTTGTTGATTTCTAGAACTAAAAATCAGTTTGTCCTCCTTGGTGTTAAGTAAAAATTCCTTTACCAACACTTGAATGTCTTGAATTGTACAAAACTTTTATTAGATAGAATACTTTTATCTTCTCACACATGAACATAGTGTTTTCTTCATAAACATTATTTGCTCACAATAATACAGAAAACACCTTTTTCTTTCTTGTTTCATTAATTCTATTCTTTTTAATATACAAATAACAAGGAATGGCAATCAATATATTTTTGCAAAAGGAAAATAATCTTGTAAAGATGTAATAGAATAGTTCTTTGGTCCCAACAAAAATATTTCATTTATTTTTGTACAATTAATTCGTGTATCATCTCTTGTACAGTCATGTGTTACTCTTTGTAATGATTTATAATCGATAAAAAGAAGAATATTATTGCATAAAAATGTTTTCGTATCAGAGAGAAATTCTTCGACATAATCATCATGAACTTGTCGAATAGCAAGATCAGTAAGATGATAATATTTAGCAATCGATAAATTCTGATTATCATTCATTGATTTATAAGATTGTTTGTGATTTTTTGCATGACGATTAATCACAGTTAATTTTTCCATAAATGGAAATGATTGACTAATTCGAATAAAAAATTCATGTTCAAAAGGTTGTTCATCATATAATGTTACTACACGAACATATGGATATAATCCACCTGGAAAATTATTTGTTATATCTTCATAATATTTCATTAGAAACGGATATGAATATATATGACATTGACCTTGATTTAGTTCTAGAAAATAATCAACATAAGAGATAATTTGATTATCTTTAAAATCTATGAATGTCTGTTGAATGTCTTGTTTTGATGGTAAATTTATTTCATTATTAATAAACATAGTAGAACGAATATGAAATGAAAATTGATTTAATTGTGACATATGATAAAGAATATTTTTCTTCAAATTATTTCCATCAATAAATCTTTCATCAACAAAGATCGAAAGATATAAACCAAGTTTTTCTAAATTTGTCATCCGATAAAGAAGTGGTAGAATTAATTCATTGTAGTTCGACGTTTTGAACTCACATGATAAAGAAAAACACTTGAGATTCGGTATTTTTATCTAGAAAAACAAAAATAAATCCAAAAGTAAAATTATTTCTTTTTTGTAGAACTAACTTGATTTTCAATTTCTTCGTCTGGACAATATATATTAGCCAACTCAATATAGTGTATGAAGTTGACTGAAACGACCATCGAGAAGATAAAGACACACATGAAAACTTTGAGCCTTGATATCTAATACCGAAAGAGTTGAAGAAGATAACTTGGGAGATGGAAAATCAAATAATAATGGAACAATATTTTTATATGATGATTCATAAAATATTAAATGAGTTAATTTCAGAAACACAGAAAATATATCATTGCAAATATTTTCCATTGAGCACAGTTTGTGATTATGTGGATCGATTTCAATAATCAGTGTTGTAATTTGATTTGTAAAAATACCAGATGAAAGCTTTTCATCTAAACACAAATAGTATTAAACAATACAATCAACTTTATATATATTCATTATAATCAAAGATCAACATAAGGTATGGAAAAAAGTTCTGTGAACTTTTTTTCTGTATATTACATAGCCAAAAGACTGCAATCATCTTTGATAGAAACAAATTTATTTTCAAAAATAATCTCTCCTTCGTATGAATTCTCTTCTTTAAAGGAAGTTGATAAAAAACTTTTTAAAAATAATGAACATTTATTTTATATGTTAATTTTAATAAACCCTTTATTTAGTTAATATTAATAACAATTCTATTGAGATTTCCTTACCAGTAAAAAGACATCTAGCTGTTTCTTCTTCGATATTAAATAAACCGATTCCATATAAATTAGGATAATCTGCAGCACATAGAATATGTTTCATAGATGATGATTCAAGATCAAACCATTTGATTTTCATAGAAATTTCAGGTAAAATTTCTGAACAAAATCGATCAAGTATGACATCAGAAGGAAATTTATTGATGAATTTATTGGATGACCATTGGAGAAAATTTAAACAACTTGTAAATATTGGATCATATATAATTTTATTTAGTCGCTCATTGATACCTTGAAAAGAATAAAGTACTTGAAGATTATTCAGCTTTTTGAAAATAATCAGAAGAATTTCATCTGGTAAATCATTCAATTTAACACAGAAATTTTTCATATTTTTCTTCATTCATCTATTCGTTTGAACTTAGAAAAGTCAATATATATATATATGCTCGCTTATTCGATTTGACCGATGTCGTCAACAAGAACAATGATAATGTATTTTTCAATAGTCTAAATTGTTAATGATTGAATGAATTTATAATTAGAAGAATGTTTTTATTTCTCTTGTCTGATTTGTTTAATATGTCATATGATAAATATGAATAGTCTTGGAGAATTATTCTTATGTAATGATCACTTCTTTGGTTTTCTTCTGAATTGCTTCCTAATATTATGAATTGTAATAATTCATAAATATGTTTAATATAGAAGAGAATAATGGATATAATTCTATGCCAAAATTCAATTCGAATAGATAAACATTCACGTTCTTCTCATGCATAAATTATTTTAAGAATATTTTGATATGTTGCAAGTATTTCATGAAAATGAATTTTTTATAATTTTTCATTACTAAAGAAATTCAGTTTGAAAAATTTTTATTTTATTTTCGAAATATTCTTCTTTATCAATCTGATTTGTCATAAAATTGAGTCAATGAATATTTCATTTTATATCATTTATTATCTTTTCTTTATATGTGTGAATGTAATGAACCAGAAAAAAATAGAACAACATCAATAACATAACAGGAAAAAATCGAAAGAAAAATACTATTTATTCAATCTGAAAATTGTTTCTGATGGTGGTGGTTGACCATACTCGAAATTTGTTGAATGATGAGGTGGTCGTGGTGGTTGACCATAATCGAAATTTGTTGGATGATCAGGTGGTGGTGGTGGTTGACCATAATTGAAATTTGTTGGATGATGAGATGGTCGTGGTTAGGGGTGTCAGCGTTCCCCATTCCTAGGAGCGGGAACGCTTGTCAAAATCGCATTTCCACGCTATATTTCAACATGGCGAGGTCTCTAGACATATTCACTTTTCTTTTTATGTTTGAGTGTTCAGCGTTCCCCGTTCCTGAGAACGGGGTAGCGTTCCCCATTCCAAGAAACGGGAACGCAGCAGCGTTCTCCGTTTCTAAGAACGGGAACGGGGTAGCGTTCCCCGTTCCTAAGAACGGAACGCAAAGTTGACACCACGACTCGTGGTGGTTGACCATAATTGAAATTTGTTATATGATGAGATGGTGGTGGTGGTTGACCATAATTGAAATTTGTTGGATGATGAAATGGTCGTGGTGGTTGACCATAATTGAAATTTATTGGATGATGAGATGGTGGTGGTGGTTGACCATAATTGAAATTTGTTGGATGATCAGGTGATG